ATAACATAATTGCTGAATTTAAAGATTCTATAATTAAATGTAATTGTGTTTGAATTGTGAAATATATTTTAGAAAGTAGGGATAGATTTTATAATTAAATGTAATTGTGTTCGAAATGCAATTGCTGAATTTAAAGATTATATAATTAAATGTTTGAATTCTATTTGGTAAGATGATGTCAGCAATTTGATCTAAGGGTGAAAAACATAGGATTGAAATACAATCAAGGGTCCTGATTGCTTCATTGGTGAATTAATGGTTCTATTTTAACAATATTTAGAGATACACTAACATTATTATGTACTGATGTCTTGGTAAGGTCTTTGTGTTGGTATAAGTGGAATAAGTTGATTTCTCGGTTGTGTTTATGGATTCCAACTTACATGGGCTTCCGTGGTTAAGTCACTAATGAGTTAGTCTCTATGGATTCCAAAATAAAGTGTGAGGACACTTTGTGATAACCTAACCTGTTTTGTGCAATTTACTTGCTTTGAACATTGTCCTATTTTTATAGGATTTTTTACACTCGGTGTAGGTTATTCTTCAAGAGAAGTCGTTAGTCGTTACACGGATTAGACGGATTAGGCATGAAAGTATAAAGGCAATATCTCAATAATTGTGTGTATATACTATACCTGGCTTTGCTTGCTTTCCTATAACTATAAACATCTACAAATCCTAACACCGGACACATGAGATCTTTAAACAGTTAAACTATCTCTTTTGCTGTTGATACGCCCATTCCGAATGAGCTCTCTGCATCATTGCATTATGTTTGACCTAACAACATGTATTTTTTCACTTTAAAATATATAAAAATCTATTCTATAGATGTTTTTAACCCAAAAAGTTAATGAAATCTCTACTATTTTTAAGGACTTTATGTTTAGGAACTATTATGAGTGTTTCGAATAATATAAATTTACCATGTGGAGGTGTATTTATTTGTGATTACTTGAGAATCGCTGCAATACACTAGCATATTTTTGGTTGCCATCAAGATTTCAAGGTGGCAAGAAAGTTATGAAATTTATTTAAAACTTATTCAACATTCAAGATACTAATTGGTCCAAAGTATTGTTGTTACAATCCAAATTCTTTCTTCTGTTTTTTTACTTACTTTTCGCATTGGGCAATGTTTGTCATACTTAATGTTTTTACACCTCAAGTTTGAATTTGTTAGTCGGGTAAATCTTCGTCTCATCTTTTCTATGTTTTCTGAATCTTTAAAGAAAAATTGACAAATTTCCATTTTCTAGATATGTTGCTATTAATAATACCATATCATTCAAAAGGTACCAAATGGAAAGAACCAGTCAAAGTGCCTCTCCATTTTCTAAATATGTTGTTATTTCTTGCATTCAAACCACATACAAAAAACAACATTCTTCTTATAGGCTGGGATCTATAACGATTAAATGCTAAAAAGGCAAAATGCTTTGGTTGGTTTGCTTATTATAATATTCTACTATCATTTTCCCATTATGGCATTAGTGCTTGGTCAAAGTTGAAAAAATATTTAATTTAATAGGAAAGAGCTTTCAAAGTACATGGACATGGAAAGGTACTTTGATGTAAGTGAAAAGAAAAAGTTTAATGCAAAAAATAACAATGTACATTGATGTAATCAGATAGGGTTTTCAAAAATATGGCAAGGTAGTTTCAATACATATACATAAATGTGGATCAGTTTTAAGTAGAGTTGCACATACGAACCAAGCTTAGTAAAACGAACTATAATCAAATTAGAATGTGACTTTTTTAACTCAAAGGCCCCAAAGACCACTTCAGGGTTTTTGGACTATTTATTAGAATTTCAATGATTTAATATTTATTCTTTTTTTTTTACAAGTTTATAATGCTTCAAAATTACCTCTAAGCCGGCTATACTTGGGGGTATTTTGCGAATTTAATATTTTGAAGTTTTAGGCATAAATAGAAGGACTACTAGTTTCACCTTTATTTGATCTAGACATTTAACAAAAAATGGACTATCCGATTCGTTTTTATTTTTGGAAATTCAATACGTTGACTTGGTTATTTTTGGAATACAGAGGTTGATATTAGTTTATATCGAATATTTATTTCTTTTTTTAGGAAAAAAAGACCATCTAAGTTGAAGAAGTGTTTTGAACTTGCTATGTGAATGCTCAAGCAAGCAATGAGATAAAAAGTAATGTACTTTTAGTTGGGGGACTAAAGTATGATTTTTATTTTATCTGTGGTTTTCTAGCATTATATTGAAAGTCTGGTGCTTTTAGTTGAGGTGGTCTCGATTATAACATTATACTTTCATTGGTTTGTATTTTTTTTGGCATCTGATTTATTGGAGTAACAAAAGGTTAAATACAAGATACAACAACATATTTCGAGGTCATACTTTTGTTGGTTTGTATATTTCGAGGTCATACTTTTGTTTTATTTATTATATCATTGTACTTCAAAATCTATGCCAAATTACAACATGGTACTGTGACAGGACAATGCTTCAACCGTGTATCCATCAGTATCATATGTGTGTATAATTTTTCATTCATTTACGTAGTGGTAGATAAAGCACTTAGGTACTAGAAAATACACCTTTAATGACATGCATTGCATGCCATTAAAGTGCAATCGTAAATGAAGATAACATGCATTTTTGTGTCATGTATTTACCACATACCATTTGTATGTCATAAATGATTTACCTTTTTTTTATAAATTCTTGACATACGTTTATATGTCATGATTTTTGATAGATTTTTAAAAACATATATTATTTTTAAATTTACTAATATTCAAATTAAATCACACATTCAATGTCTTATAATATAAAATAAAATACTATACACAAAAAATACAATCCATTGCACAAAAATAGAAAATATCAAACACAAATAACCATTCTAATGGTAAATATATGTAATACATTGCTAATACAGGTACATATTCCTATAATTTGTAAAGTATGCAAGCACGTTGAGAAAGTTCTTCATCTCTTGAAGTGTCAGAGTATTCTGCATCTTCTCCCCAAAAGATTCTTATACTAAAGAATGGTATTTCTACCTTTAAACTTGCTTCCGTTAAACCGTCGCGTGTAGCCAAAATCCGAAACACCCCTACATCTTAATCGACTTCAATTGAATCGTAAGCTTCATCATAATCTTCAAATTAAAGTTCCGCCCGCCTAATTGAAACCCTTTCCTTTGTTGACCGCCCACCGTCTGCTTCCTTTGATCTCCATCGACTTCTTTGATGGGTCTCATACCTTCGAACTTTTTTTTTGGATCTGATTGAATGTTTAAGTTCTAAACAAGAACTCAAATCTCTCTTCTTCCGATAATGTATATTGTTTTTGGGTTTAAATGGTTTATTTGTAGTCGTAAATATAAGATCACTCTTTTTACGATAATGTGTATTGTTTTAGGTTTAAATGGTTAATTTGTGGTTGTAAATATGTTTCTATCATACGTATACTAATTTATGAGGATGAATATTTTGATAATATTTGTTGTTATGGTAATCTCTATAATTATTTATCATATTTAGAAACATAAAATATAATTCACAATAATATAAATTATACAATATTAATAATATAATGTGAAATAAATAACTCTCTTGATAAAAGTCATACTATGAAATGTTGTTTTATTGTAAATGAAATTGTATCTATTTAGGTAATGCCACGGAGGAAATATTATTTTTTAAGGAAAAATTAGAAATTGTCAATCTTAATGGCCAAAACTATGAATTTGGAGGCAAGAGAATTAGAACTTCTACAACTATATTTCCATCTAGCCAAGGTGATATTTAAAGAAACAATGCTCTTTTTCCAATGTATAGATAGTCAAACCTTCTTTATTTAGATTTTAACTTATTAATGTTGATGAAAATGACTAGGAAATATTGTTAGAATTAGTTGTGGGTTGATAATAGATTATAAATATGCCAAAATGGATTCAACGAATTGTATATGAGTGAGTGAGCTAAATTTTTTTAGCGAAGTATTAAATGATGGATGAAGTAGAAAGTATGAAAAATATGATGTGTATGTGCATGTGTTTAGTGATCGTCAATAGAAAAGAAGAACCTAAATCAATAAAAATTACATGTAGTTACATCGTAGTTGCCACCGTTACAAATCGAATCAGTCAAAAAATCTTTTTCAAGACAATCCTCTCACTGAAGCACACAATTCATCTTTCTCACCACATGTTCATCCCGTTCACCGATAAATTTTGTCGAATCATAATGTGTCATCCAAATTCCTCCAAATCTATGTACCCATAACCACCATCACCAACGTGCTTCTGTAGTACTACTCTGTCGCGCCCCACACACAATTACACCAAAATTTAACTTGTTATAAACAACCTACTTTCATTGCTTGTTTAGTATATCATCTTATTTTTTGAAAAAATTTATAATCCCCCTCCTCTATTTTAAACATATATTATATTTGGAATTGATTTTTTTATAAACCGTGTAGCTATAAAAAAAATATCATTTTCATTATAATTATTTATAAATTTGATTAATTAGTTAAAATAAAAATATTATTGATTAGAAATATAAAATGTGATACCATAATCGATAAATTAGTGATTGAAGAATATTAAATGGTTGATGAATGGTAACAAAATCAATTATATGCTCCAATGTTTTTAAATATTTAATGAGATTTTCTAATATGTGCCCTAAGGGCACATTTAAGAAACATTAATTGAAGTATTAATTATAAGAAATATTACCATAATTAAATGTGATAAACATTAGTTATATATGTAATATTACCATAATTAAATGTAAAATACATTAATTATAAAGAATATGTTTATAATTAATGTTTATCATATTTAATTATGGTAATATTTATGATAATTAATACTTCAATTAATGCTTTCTTATACACATGTTAGAAAATCCCATATGTAATAAGTAGTGATAAATCATAAATCCATGAAAATTAAATTCATTACAGATGCTATAAATATGTCAGATGATTTGGAATATAAATAAACAAAATATAAATCTTCCTTTATTAGATTTTTACACAAAAGTTACACCATAACAATGGAGTCATTGTTTCACAATTATGACAAATAAAAACAAGTTGTATTCTGACGCAATATTCCTTACTTAAAACTTATTTTTAGGCAATTTGATTGGCAGCTTCTTCCAGTGCTCCAGCACTCCATGCTCCTTTGTATTGGACAGGCTCTTTTGTTTTATCTGGACCAAATTGTAAAATATATGGGAAATGTGGTACCTTATACTTACTACATAATTCCTGAAAAATTGCAATCGATTAGTAATAATATGGATTAATAATATTAGTTTAAATTTAAAAATAGAAAAAAAAATCGAGGAATATTACAGGACAATTCTGACAGTTCACTTCACCAAACTTGACCTTTCCGCACATATTAGCTGAAGCTTTGTCCCATTCAGGTTTAAGGCCTTTAACAGCTCCACACCTATAAGAAAACACATAACACATATATATATATATATATATATATATATATATATATATATATATATATATATATATATATAGTTTAAAGTTTTATATTATGATAAAGTAAAAAGAATAAGTATATGTGGAATAGTAAATTACTGAGGTATAAGGAACTGGACAATCCATTTGTCTTGGCTTTTCATAACCGCCTGATCAAAAGTACAATCAAACAATTCTTCAGCATGAACGAGATTGAAATTTGAGATGACCGATAAAAAGAAGAAAGAAATCAAGATGAACACTTTTGTCGAGCGATCCATGGTGGAATGGAAAACGATGAAATTGTTGTTGTGTTTGATTTTGATTGATATAGGAATAGGAATAGGAGATACACATTTTAAATAGTGAAGTCATCTTGTAATTTGCGGAAACATGGACGGATTACATTTGCATAGGAATTGATTGGGTCAAATTACTCCTAGATTAATGGTTTTCTTTTAAACAGGGGAAAAGAATGGTTGTGTTTTTTTTTTGTTAGTTCGTTATATATAATAGGAATTCTCCTAATTCAGTGTTGGATTCCATTAAATTATGAACATGATTAATAACCAAAAGAACAGAACAGAACAGAAACCAGTGCTACATTTGATTTGATTTAACCTATCTGATGTTTGTATTCTAACATTGATGAAATGTTATTACACTGTACGTAGTAAGTGCTTGAAAGGGACCTCTTTCTCTTAACTTTTTCAGACCTCACATCACTTACAACCATCCATCACCGCCACCTCTCTTCCAACCACCGCCGCCCATTGCATATGTCTTCAACTACGCGAATCAAAACTTTGCATCGATTGATGAAGGTGACTGGAATCAAGAGAAAGCATTGATTGTTTCAATCGATTTTTTTGGGTTTGATTTAGGCCCAGGTTAAAATAGATTTTTTTTTGGCCATGGCATGAAAGCAAGTCATATATAGGTATACTCATCGTAGTTGTTATCTCGATATTGATCTCTATTCTATTGAATGATCTTTCTTTTGATTTTTGTTGTTTGATTTTGTTATGAATGTCTGCCAATAGTCATTTTTAGCGTTATAATTCGATCTTTAGCTTTGGTTCTTTTGATTTTTGATGTTTGATTTTGTTATTAGTGCTTATTCTCAAACACTTCCTTGATATATACTCCTTAATTTATATGTGACGTTTTTTGAGGAAATAGAACTAAACACACATTTCCATTTTCTATTTATGTTGTTATTACAAAAGGTACCAAATGGCAAGGGCCAATCAAAGTGCCTTTCCATTTTCTAAATATGTTGTTATTTCTTGCATTCAAACCACATAGAAAAAACAACATTGCTCTTATAGTCTGGGATCTATAACGATTAAATGCTAAAATGCTAAATTGGCAAAAATGTTTGGTTGGTTTGCTTAATATAATATTCTACTATCATTTTCCCATTATGGCATTAGTGCTTGATCAAAGTTGACAAAAATATTTAATTTAATAGGATAGAGCTTTCAAAGTACATGAACATGGCAAGGTACTTTGATGTAAGTGAAAAGAAAAAGTTTAAATGCAAAAAATGACAATGTACTTTGATGTAATCAGGGTTTTCAAAAAAAATGGCAAGGTAGTTTCAATACATATACATAAATGTGGATCAGTTTGAACTAGAGTTGTACATACGGACCAAGCTTAGTAAAACGAACTATAATCATATTAGAATGTGACTTTTTAGACTCAAAGGCCCCAAAGACCAGGTCGGGCTTTTTCGACTATTTTATCTGAATTTCAATGATTTGATATTTATTCTTCATTTTAGAAGTTTATAATTCTTCAAAATTACCCTTAAGACAGCTATATTTGGGGATATTTTGGGAATTTAATATTTTGAAATTTTAAGCATAAATAGAAAGACTACTAATTTCACCTTAATTTGATCTTGACATTTGACATAAAAAGGACTATCCAATTCGCTTTTCTTTTTGGAAATTCAGTAGGTTGGCTTGCTTATTTTTGGAATACAGAGGTTGATATTAGTTTATATCGAATACTTATTTCTTTTTTAGGCAAAAAAAGGACCATCCAAGTTGAAGAAGTGTTTTGAACTTGCTGTGTGAATGCTCAAGCAAGCAATGAGATCAAAAGTAAGGTACTTTTACTTGGGGGACTAAAGTATGGTTTGTATATTATCTGTGGTTTTCTAGCATTATATTGAAGGTCTGGTGCTTTTAGTTGAGGAAGTCTCGATTATAACATTATACTTTCATTGGTTTGTATATTTTGGCATCTAATTTATTGGAGTAACAACAAGTTAAATACAAGATATAACAACGTATTTCTGTTGGTTTGAATATTTTGGGGTCATACTTTTGTTTTATTTATTTTAGCATTATACTTCAAAATCTATGCCAAATTACAACATGGTACTTTGAAAGCACAATGCTTCAACCGTGTATCCATGAGTATCATATGTGTATATAATTTTGCTTTGTTTAATTTGTAGAGTAAATTACATTTATGGTCACTGACTTTACTTAACTTTTCATGCTTGCTACCAAATAACTTTTTTTTTGCGATTTTGGTTCCTATATTTCGTTGTTGTAATGATTTTGGTCCCTATATGCACCAAAATACAAAAGGAAACTATTGAAAATTCAAATTTTGAACAAAATCTAGGACTAAATTTATTTTCAAAGTTCAATGCTTTAATAAGCAAAAAACCAATTATAACCTTGTCTCATGTTTTTTAGCCAACCTACTTATGGTTTATGGCTTCTTTAGCATTTGTAGCAATGAACTTCCATTATATTTTCAAAAGAAATTATTAAAATGACCGTTAATTGGTTTTTTCTGTTTATAGAAATGTACTTTCAACAAAAGTTATTGCTTAAATACTCGCCGCAACGCATGGGTTTAAAACCTTGTTACTGACAAACATAAAGTGTATCAGGTTTTTGATGTAGCATATTAGCATCATATACCTTTAACTGACCTCAAAATATAACAATAAAAGACCTACAATATGCAATTGCTAAAGGCCACTTGTTTATTAATATCAAACTGAAGTAATTTATTTTAGCAATTCATCTTCATATGTTCCTGAAAGTAATGACACATCTATTAATTATCATTTAGCACTCTATTTTTCTTTTTTCTTGAAAACGTACATCAAGATTAAAGAATGCACCTTTGACATAGATGGTGGGTTATAACAAACTATAAAGATTCAATCTTTTGGAGGATTTATAGGAAAAGATCAAGAAAGGGAAAAGGAAAAGGGTAATTATGTCTTCCTTCTATTGGGACAAAACAGAAAGGCGAAGCTCCTATAAAATCCTAAGAATATATGTGAAGAAGGTAAATACCATTTTGGTTATTGATATTTAAATTTGCTCTGTATGATCTTGTGTCGCACCATTTTTTCCACTCTTTTACACGATATAGAGAATCGAAAGAATTTGCTCTCTAATAACTTGATGTAATTTGATTTTAATCATTTCAAGTTTTTTTCATTTTGCAATATCCCAAGACTCCCATCAATGCTTGAAATGAGGTGCTTTTGATTGGTCAAACTATTTTTTAATTACACAAGTCTTTTTACATATAGCTTATTAAGTAATGTTGATTCTTATATCATTTTTTGTTATTTATAAAAAATAAAAAAAAAACAACCGTGGAATTTGAAAAATCACAAAACCTGTATATTCAAGCAACCAAGTTCATGATTATGGCTTTGTCCTGTGATATCCAACTTAATTCACTTGGTTGCATATACACAATAAGAGAGATTTGTTGTGGTATGCGTTTATTAAAGTTTTAAAAAAATCTTAAATTAATATAATCCTCATTTGTCAAAATTTTATTTTACTGAAGTACAATATCATTAAATTGCAGAAAATCAATAACAAGTTAGTTGTCCGAAAGAATCATCATTTAACATTAGAAAGTCAACCCTGAGATGCAAATGAAATCCATGAACTAATAATATTCCAGTTCTGGTGATCAAAAGTATCTTGGTACTTTTTCCATGTCTTGGCAGAAATTCTAGTAGGAGAGGAGATAACTCATTTTTATCACTTCTTCGAGATGGTTATCCTTGTAAACATCTGTACATGTTAGATATGTGGATTTCTTGAAAGAATCAGTCTAACTACAACAAACCATCATCTTTAGCCATCTCAATAAAATCTTGCAGTTTTAGCGCCTTCTGATAATGCATCATCCTGCCAACTGTTAACACAACAGAGATATTAAAATAAATGAACAATTTGATAAGGAGAAATATCCTCCTCAATTTTTCCCCTGTATAAAAGTGATTCCGCATATATTCTATATTGATGTAATTGCTTCTATATATCTGTTTGTTATTTAGTTTCCTAAGTTTAGTGGAATCTCCTTAATTGCAAATATCCTCTGTAATATACGTTGGGATGTTCTTGGCTATTTAAAGTCATCTCCCCTGTTAATCAAAAATCATCTTACTCTCAACCATTTCATGGTATCAGAGCTTTATTGATCCTCCTCTATACTCGCAAACACTCTTCATCAGCCATGACCAACAACAATGATGCTACCATTCCCAACAGCAACAAACCTACAAAACCCTTCACCATAATCAACTTCAACAACACAATCGAGCTCACTCCAAGCAATTACATTCCATGGAAATCTCAAACTCAAGCAACCCCTAATGGGCTAAGATCTATACAAATTTGTAGATGGTTCTCATCCACCACCCTCCCCTACAATCACAACCAACTCTACTACAACTGCAAATCCAGCCTATTCAACATGGGTGCGCCAAGATAAACTCATTTTTGGTGCTCTTCTTGGAACTCTCTCAGCCACTGTTGTACCTCTTGTATCCCACTCCTCAACCTCTGCTGAAATTTGGCGCATCCTTGCATCAACATATGCCAACCCATCTAGCGGTCATCTCTTACAAATCAAAAACAATCTCAATCGACCCACAAAACTCTCCACCCAAAGTATCACTGAGTACATGCAATCCATCAAAACCCTCACCGCGCGACCAACTCTCTGTCATGGGGAAACCCATGGACCATGAAGACATTATCGCCAAAGGAAGCACGGGTGGTCTGATACACCACAGCTGAATGCAGGACATCGAAACATCTGGCGAACATACAAAAAAAGTCAAAGAAGTTGGCTCAATATCAGCCAATAAAGAGAGAATCCAAGCCGACAAAAAGAAAACCAAAAAACACCCATCATAATACATGTCACTGTTCATAAGATGCACGTATATTAATATGTATTAATAATTTGGAGATATATGTTACACAAATAA